CCCAACATCCATGCATCACCACTACTCTGACTCTCATCACAGGGACTCTCAAGCCCATGCACTACCTTCACTGCTCAAGATTGCTACCCGGGGCCAGACCTCCCAATGTAATCACACTGCAACATACGCAACCCATAACCTCAATCCGATCCAACAATACTCGCAGAGTCTTCAGCATGACTGGACCGCCTCCCCAGGCCTTCAGCCAATCTGGACCACTCTCAGAACCTTCAGCCAATCTGACTGGACCGTCCTCCGAGCCTTCGGTCTGACTGGTACGCCTACCGGCTTACAGTCTATCCGGACCGCTCAACTAGCATTCATCACTCCGAACCATCCCTTCGGGAAATCCTCCCGTGCATACCGTTCTAGCCCTCTAGGGGTTCCGAACTCTATCTCCATCATACATGCTCGATCCCGCCTGCTCCCATGCCTTCCTCAATCAACTGCTCTAGGTCTGTATTCCGCCCCGCACGCCTGTTACTCACTCATACGAGCCTGCTCTCGACTAATAGAAATACCGCTGAATTTCCCAAGCAGCTAAACAACCTCTCAGGCCCAACGATCATCCGGAGAATTTCCAATTCTCCCCCACTTAAGACACTGACAGTTAGTCACCGGTTGCCATCACCGATCTCCCCAAGCAACCTTGCAGGAATCAACACATGCACTCAAAATGTTTTTCACCAGCACCAACAACTTTCATACAATCATGTTCCCATGCTGCACAACCTGCTCGAAAGGAACCCAATCTTCAACTATCAATTCCTCAGACTACAGAATCTAACTGGCCTTCAAACCAACGCCGCATCCGCCACCAATCCTCACAAAGATAATCAACGATAGCTCGAAGTACAAATCCATAACCATAACGATCCTTCAGGGAACAAAAGATACTAAAACGAAATCTCGATCACAACTCGCCAAACCCTCAAGGAACAACGGATACCACACGAAAACCCGAAACGCAATTCAACGAAACCAACAGATAACAATACTCCACAACAATCATAAATAATCAAACATCAGAAAGAAACATACCCGCAGCAGCAAGCTGAAAAACACGACCCTAAGCCCTTGGGGGCTCAGCTCCACCCTGATCTCCACCTGTGATCCTCAACGTAGCCGGTGCTGGAGCCTGCACCGGTCCTGTAGCAAGCCGTGGACAGTTGACCTTCAAATGTCCAACCTGATGACAATGATAGCATATCCTCAAATCCCGAACCGGCACTGACTGCCGACAATCCCTCGCATAGTGTCCCTCCTTTCCGCACTTGCGGCACACTCCACTGGACCGACAAACCCCGGCGTGGCCCCTTCCACACTTTCCACAGACGTGGCTACCCTGATCTCCCATCCTGGAATCAACGGTCTTAGACCGTTTCGTCGCCGGCTGCGACTGAACCGGAGCTTGCCTCAGCTCACGCATTTGTAACTCAATCTCTAACTCACGCCGCCTGGCGGCCTCCTGCAACTCCAGCAAAGTCTCGCACCTCTGCGTAGACACAAACTGTCTGATGTCTCTCTTTAGCATACTCAGATATCGGGACATCTGAGCCTGCTCCGAAGCGAACTCAGGGCAAAACATCGCCCTCTCAGTAAACATCCTGGTGATTTCCGTCACCGATTCCGAATCCTGTTTCAGCTCCAAGAACTCCTGAGCCAACCTCTCCCTCTCGACCTGCGGAACATAACGAGTGCTGAACATCTCTCTGAACCGATCCCATGAAATCGCAGCCCTCTGCGCATCCGAGTACGACCCGTGGTCAATCTCCACCAATCCTTTGCTCCGAGCCTCAACAGGTTCAAAGCACACCTCACCCTCTGATCAGCAGGGCATGAACACGTGAAGAAACATCCCTCCACATCTGATAACCATCTCATAGCAACGATCGGATCCTGAACTCCATCAAAAGTGGGAGGCTTCGTATTATCGAAGTCCCGATACTGAAAACCTCTACTGGCTCCTCCCCCTGCCGCTGCTACTGCTGCGGTAGCCGCCGCGGCAGCCGTCTCCGTGAGAGCCGCATAGCGCTCATCAAAATACTCCACCATGGCGGTCTTGATCGACCCAAACAACTCTGGCAGCTCAGCCCGAAACAATGCAGCAACCTCATCATGCAGGATCTCACGAATCCTCGCATCCAACTCGTGCGTACTCATCTGGCTGACAACCTCGGGTTGTACAGACCCACCCGGAACCCCTCTCCGGCTCCTGATCCTGACCCGGATCCACTCCCAGCGTGCCCTGAAATCTCCATACTGAAAATAAAACACCAAATCTCACACATTTCCACTACCCGGGAACCAGCTCTCATCCCAACCCTAGAGGTCATGGTTTCCCTGATACGCGTATGAGTCCGTGCTTTCAGTAGTACGGGCCCATACTACCTTCCACACCAACCCATATTTGTATGAAGTACTCCCACAACACCCTAGCGACACACATAACACGCTCTATCCTCACAACTAGAGGAACACTAGAAATCTCTCACAAGGAACCCTAGGCTAGCAGGCATCATAAATCAGGCAACTCATCAATAAATCCTGAAGATCCCTAGCCTAACTAGCTCTAGCATGTGTTCTATCAAAGCTCAATAAAACAATTGTCATGTATGGTATTTTGGGGTTACTTACTGGCTCCGGCTGATCGTACCTCCGCGTCCTCCTTTACTTATTTTGAAAACCATTTTAAATTCTCTTTTTGAAAGCTCTCCTCGATTTGAGACTGGAGTCACAAAGTGTTCCTCCAATTCACTCAAACCAAGGCTCTGATACCAACTTGTAACATCCGAAAAATACAACCAATTTAAATTTTTCAAAACAACCTGATTTTCATTAAAATGTTTACAAAAAGGTTTTCAATACAAGTCATTAGAGTATTCCCAGAATCACATTGCTACAAAATCATGAGGAGCGGTACGATCGCGCCTTCGCCTTGCCACAGTCTCCTGAAGAACCTGAAAAACATTAAACCACAACTGTAAGCCCGAAAGCTTAGTGAGATACCCCCAAAATACCAACCACGTATACGCCCTTCCAGGCTACGACCTTCCGGTCCAAAACATATAAAACATACATAACATAACAGAACATAGAACAACCATGCATATCGGGTCTACCGTGTGACTGGTCCGCCGTATCGGGCCTTCAGTCCAACGGATCCATCCTCCGGGTCTAGTCATGTCCTTCGAGTCTACAGTGGGGTTGGTCCGCCCGCATCGGGCCTTCAACCCACCTGGTCCACTCTCTGAGTCTACAGTGTGACTGGTCCGCCCGCATCGGGCCTTCAGTCGGCCTGGTCCACTCTCCGAGCCTCGGCACGTCTGGTCCGCCCTCGTGGGGCCTACAGCCTATCCGGACCGCTCGCTGGGCCTTCGGAACAACCGGTCCGCCCTGGGTATCTTGGCCTACAGCACAAAGCAGGACCCGCCTCAACCCATCTCCAGTCCAAACAACCATGTGCACAAAACATACATTCATATAACAGTCATAGTCAACAAACCGAGCAAGCAGATCACATAGCATATCATTACCCTAACCGGGTTACCGACCTAACCGGTCACTAGCATAGCATCACTCTGTATATCGGGAAAACTGACCTTAGCAAGGCCTCCTAGCATGTACCATCCTAGCTACCAGGATGCAGACACATCAAACAATAACATAATAACCATAACCGAATCTCAATACAATAAAGGGCCGGCCTTGGTGCCTTAGACCCTGTTGATATAGTGAGGATAACTCACCTCGAAACTGTCGGCTGAAAAGATAAGATCCCGCTGCTCCGAACTCTGCACGAACTCCTCCACTAAACATCAAAACATACAACTCAATAAATACCCTTAATTACCAAAATACCCCTGGAAGACAACTGGTCAACCTTGGACGAGTCAAAGTCAACCCCTGACTGACCCTACTCGCCGAGTCATCCCGATGACTCGAGTCCTTATGCTCAGAACTTCCCTCAATTAGCGACCCAACTCGCCGAGTCACCCCAAGACTCGTCGAGTCCAACAACTCTGAGTCCACTCGCACCCAACTCACCGAGTCATCCCTTGACTCACCGATTCATCGACTCAACCAGAAATATTGGGACTTCCTCGACAAGACTCGCCGAGTCCAAATGGACTCGTCGAGTCCAAGGCCATCTTCAACCTACTCGCCGAGTTGTTCTTCCAACTCGTCGAGTCCAGGCCATCTTCAAGCAACTCGTCGAGTCCACCCATGTGACTCGTCGAGTACCACCTATTGAATCCATACAGAAGCATCTCAGGCCATGCAATTGAATCCAAAACATAGATCCAACCTCCTACAATCCATCCATCACGTAAAGTGGCAAACTTTACGTGAATCTAACGAGATTAAGCCATATCACCTTAAAACCAAGGTTTGGGACATGGTGGCTTCACTAAACACTCAAACATAGGAACTTTACTGCACTCTAGGGCTTCAACATTCCAGATCTGAGGTAGCAACCTCAGATCTATCCTCCAAACTCCAAAACATACCAAGACATCCTCCCCATAAACCCCAAAATGATGAAACTAGGAATGCACAGCCTAAGGACGAAGATATTACCTCCAAAGGATGCCTCAATAGCAGCCAAACTCGAATCCAAGCAAAGCCCTTTGATCCAAGCCACTTCTCCTTCAAGATCTCTTCAAACAACACCTCTCCAAGCTCTAATTTGCTCCACAAATGATCTCTCCACGTATTTAGGGTTTCTGGAACTCAAGGGGGGAATAAGGGAGGCTGTGGAGGGGTATAATGCTCTTTATATAGGGCTCAACCCCGGAAATTAGGGTTTTCTCCATACAGCACCTACTCGCCGAGTCCATCCCAGGGACTCGCCGAGTAGGCCACTTGACACGCGACCATGACCGCGACCTGACTCGCCGAGTCAGCCATGGACTCGCCGAGTCATCCTCTAAAACTTATACTTTTAGCCCTTCAACTCTACTCTTGCGATCCCGGGATGTTACAGAGACTTTCTTTCCCTAACTTTTTACGAATTTGCCCTTACCTGACAAATTGTGCAGAAACTAAGTTCTTGATCAGCAGATGAAACAACTTCCAACTTAGAAGACATAAATACCCTTGTTTACAAATAACCTGAAATAAAATCCTCTGATAACCCTGATCCAGCATTCCCAATCTGCTCACCTAATGCAAGAAGCTCCTGCATATACACAAAAGGTCAATTTCGTAATTTGACTAAAAAAGAAGCCAATCTTTGTATACTCATAAGACATATGATCAATATCCATACGCATATCTCTATGATGATCAACTCTTCATCCATAATTAGAAATATCAAGCATTGCAACACCCTGTTATTAGAAAAAAAAATTAATAAAAGGAATTTCATTTTGTTGCATGATTTGATTATGAAGAGAGTAATATTTAATAATAATAATTAACATCTTCAGGAAGAACTCTTAAATGTGGAAAGTCATGTGGTCTTTCCAAGCTCGGTTAGAAGAGGGGTTTATGTAGAAGCTAGTGTTTATAAAAATCCACAGTTCCATTGAAGGAAAAAAGTTAGAGCATCAATAGAGATGAAGATTGAAACCTGCTTGAGATCTGGTCGAGATAAATTGGACACGACAAAGAAATTCAACGCACTGTTCTTCAATGTCAAATAAATTGAGAAGATGGTCTGATCACCTGTCGTTCAATGAAATGATTCAAACAGAAGCCCTAATTTTAAAAGACGATAGCTATACTAAAAAAAGAGAGTCAACATGAGAAGTATCAAGAGGTTCACATTACCTTGGAGACGACTTGAGAAGTATTAATCAAAAGTTTCAAGATCGCTCTGCTACAATGGTTCAATCCCGCATTTTGATTTCGCCACAACCACCACAATGGTTTTGACTAGCGATTCAGTATAGGGAATAAACCATACAAAAGCTATCAAATAACCCTTGGAGTGAAATTAAAGAAACCGTGAAGATTTTAGTGGATAGATGAAGAGAGATTTTAGTGAAGAGATGAAGAGCTGGGGAGGCGACGAAATCGATTTCTAACTGAAAAGAAAAATCTAATTGAATAGATAAACCTATTAAGGTAGCGGTCAGGGAGGTGAGACGGGACGCAATCACAGGTGTAGTGGAAGAGTCACATTCGTAGTAATCAGTGCGATGGAGGAGTCGCACACCCAATTGAGAGTGAAACCATTCAGTTATAAGTATTAGCTTATCGTTGGTCAATTTGTAATGAGGAAGGCCTGACGTCGCTGGAGGAGAAGTGACCAAAGGTGAAGCAAGGTGAATCATCCATTGTTTCAGAGCTAAGAGAGATGCGAGATTGTTTTCGTTCTTGAAAAAAACCCTAGCTAAAATGGTCACAACGATTTTGTGGAATTTAGTATTTGGTGATGTTTTGGGATTTTGTTGTGCGAGAAAAGACGAGTGGTTATGATATTAGGGTTTTTTGGGTATTGATCAGTGAGGAGAGGGAAGAACGATGGAAATAATGCAGAGGATGAACGAGATGTTTGATGATACTGAAGATGAAGGTGAGGGACCTAGGGCTTTTTCTTGCTAAGTACAAGAGGCGGGGGGATTAATTTTTAGGGTTCAATAGGCGGGGGTAATTTTCATCGATTTCATTTCCCGCCTAAAACGCGTGTTTCACTTAAAAATTATAAAGCGACACCTTTAAATGACGCACATTTTATGAAAGGCGCCCTCCGCATTTCTTATTTTTCTTTTCTGACACTAATTTTAGGGCGCGCACAAATGCGTGCCCTCTATCTTTAAAATTTTGCAAAACTGACATTATCTTTTAGGGCACTTGCAAATGCACGTTGTCTATCAGCGAGTGTCATTGTTTGCGCGTCATTAAAGGGCTATTTTCTTGTAGTGTTCTAAGCTTATAGATTTGAGATGAAGTATAATTTCCTTTCCCTTAATTATAGCAAAACAACTTTTCCCAATTGAAACCTTTTGTTTTCTATAATTAACATTGCTAACTTGCAATTCTTATCATAATTATCATGCTCCCACTAACATGATGATTATTAGCATAACACTTATGTTCCCACTAGCTTTGACATGTACCCAGAAATCAACTGAACTTCTAGAAATCAATACTTTATTGACTTTCTTACCAAAGTTCAGATTTCTGATACTAGATTGCCTTGATAAGACTTTATCAATATCATACACCTCTCTTAGATAGCTCACATGTGTGTCTAAACAATTATGAAGAGGGATGCCGTAATCATAATGTTTAGACCTTTTGTCATTCCCACAATTGCTATCTACTCAAAATCTACTTAGTGAAAGAGTTTCCTTACCATCATTTTCATGAATCGAAGAGCAACCTTATGACACTTAGATTTAATGGTGTATGTGTTCTTATCCATGTGAATTGTCAAAACCATAGTCACAAGACAAGGATAACGAAAAATCCAAACTCATATGGACTAAACTCAATCTTAACTTCTTGCCACCTGGCAGCTCAAGGGCTTGCCATTGCTTCCAAGTTGTTTTGCAACACATTGAGAACTCTAAGAACTCATATGCAAAGCCAACTTTAACTGGAATGGGCACAGAATATGTTAACACGATAGGTTATAAACCTCAAGTTGTGTGCTAGTGAAGAACTTCAGGTTCTATTCTTGATTAGTTCTTGAGACTTTCAAGACCTTTAAGACTCCCATTATCCTCTTGACCTATAAGACTCCCTTGTCAAACATCCAAGAGATAGTGTGGATTCTAACCAAGACAAACACTTCACACAATTGGCCTAAGTTGGTCTTTGTTTTATCCAAAACATCACAACTTACCAATTTCAAATGTACAAAAGTAGAAAACTTTTACTCTTACATTTGACAAGTGTTTTAAACCTTCTTTGAGACATGTCACTCAACTTACAATCTTGGAGTATGACTCTAAGAATTGTTTTTGGAAAGAAGTATGAATCATCTTCTTGATTTAACCACTTCAACAATTCATAGTTCCTCTTCTTCGCTATAAGAAAGCACTTAGAGGATGAATTGCCGTAGGGTCTCTAAATCATTAAGATGATCAAATCTTTTCAGATTTGAGAAACTTCTATCCTTCTACCTAATTTGATTCTTCTTATTCGCTCTGCCTTACATTGGAACCTTTTTCCAATGTCTCAGAATTACACTTAAGCTTGTAAGTATAACCATATTTACTGAACTTTAGTAAATTATGACGAATAATCTTATTGATCTTTTGTGGTGGACTTGACCAATGCATAAGAATGTGTACTCGACCCCTTAGTCCTTTACTTGACTCACACATCCATGTGAACAAGTAATTAGTCTTAATTTTCCAATACTTGAAAGTTCTCATTCATCATGCTATACAACTTGCATGATTCCAAATTCCGGTCTAATTGAGACTTGGGTGATGAGAATCTTTCCTTATTTGGTAAATTTAGACATTACCACAAATGAAGGAATCAATTTCATATTTCCACTCTTGCTATTAATGGAATCATATAAGCAACAATTTTTCCTCAAATGCCATTGTAAGGATATTTTAAAATAAATAAAATCAAAAATTTTCTTTTATTTTGAAACTATGCGGAAAAACTTATCCTTACAATCCATATGAAAACTTGTTGTTATCTATTCCTAAGCAATATCTCATAACTCCTAAGAAGTAGCTCAAGAATCCGATCTTCAAACTACGCGATAGAAATCCATCTATGCGATCATATTCAGCGTATTCTTTCTTTAAGTTTCTCCACTTTTCTTTGATTCTTAAAACATTACCATGTGACCCAGTCACATCATGTATCAGGAATCTCATAATAGAAACTTAACAGAGTTAGATAGTGGACTTTACCTGAAGTAGAGTCAAACTTGTTGACTTTAACCTCCTTAGGTAAATTTGGCAACTTCGCAACCACTACCCCTTCCTTTGGAAATATAAACATATGGACCCTTTGATAATGGTACACGGGACTATCACAGACTTAGCTTTTCTCTTTACCATTTGGTCAACCGAGTTGACTATGGTCGATCCCTTTCCATTGGGAAGAGAATGCTTTTTTGGATTTCCTGTGTCCCTATTGTCAGTGTCCATCAAGTTTTAAGGAAGTTGATCTTAACAAATAGATAAGATCATTATGGGTCATGTCATAGTCTGTTTCATAGGTGTCCCAAAGGAACTCACTATGTGACTTAGAAAGTGATTGAACCGCCAACTTTCTCAAGACTTTGACACCCAACTCTCCCGGCTTGTCAATATGTGACTACATCTCCAAGATGTGACCACACCTAGACCTTGCCTTGCCAATAGGGCTTGAGTGATCTTAAACTTTTCAAGAACTTGTGGGTTAGGGAGAATAATTGGAGGAGGTGAAAGAAGTATGATTTCCAAGGGACATCATCTTCATTAGGAAAGCTTGTTTCAAGAGATTTGGGAAGATCATAAATGTCTAAACTAGACATCTTTTGGGAGATATTCAAGATAGTTGATTTAAAGTCCTTAATATGACACCCAATATGAAATATTAAGGCTAGGACCCAACAAACTATTGTATAACTTAGAAGAGGGATGCCAGAATCCAAGCTATAAAATATTTGAAGGTAGGTGAATGACGATTCACCAATTTCCACCATGAAAAACGAAATAATAATTAGGTTTTAATTGGTTTTGAAACTTTTAGATCTTTGAGATTCATTGAACTGTTATTTATGGAAATGTTGAGAATTTATCAAATAGAGAGAGTTTCTCATCACCCAAATTTCAATTGGACAGAAATTTGGAATCACGCAACTTGGTTGCATGATGTATGAGAAATTTCATATTTGGAAATTAGACTAATTCGTTGACAAAGTGTCAAGTGAAGGACTAGGAGATCGAGTACACATAGTTGCGTGTTGATCTAGTCCACCATAAGAGTAACAAAGATATTCATCATGATTTACTAAAGGTTTAGTAAATATGATTATACTTATAAGATTAAGTGTAATTATGAATTGATTGAAAATGTTTAAATCAATAGCAGCACGAATCAGAAGAATCAAGTAGGCAGAAAGATAAAAGTTTCTCCATTCTAACAAGAAGGGAAAGTACATTTTATGCTTTATGATAGGTATTTATGATTAAGAACCATATCTCAATTAATCCTCTAAGTGAGTCTTAGTACAATTGTATGTTTAAAAAGAGGAATCAAGAATTAAAGAAATGGTTAAATCAAAAGGTCAATCATACTTCGTTCCAATAACAAGTCTTAAAGTTAAGATTGTGACAATGAGTGAAAAGTATTAAGAAGGTTTATAACATTCATCAAATGTGGGAAGTTGTGATGTCTTCGATAAGACAAAGGCCAACTAGGACCAATTTATGAAGTGTTTTGATAACAACTACACTAACTCTTGAATATTTGTTTTGTCAAGAAATGGTTATTGACAAGAGAATCTTATATGTAAAGGAGTCAGTGGGAGTCTTAATGGTCTTGAAAGGTTTCAAGAACAAATCAAATAAACCTTATCGATCATCACTAGCACACGAGTTGAGGTTAAGAACGTATCGTGTTGACATTATTTTGTTTATGTGCTGTTCCAGTTGAGTTAATTATGCATGTGAGTCCTATGAGTTCTCATTTTGAACGCATAAAAGGCAAAACACCTTAATCAATGAAAGGTACATTGATAGGAAAAGGTGAGCTGCTTAACTACTTGGAAGACGGTGGGCAGCTGTGCTACCATAAGGCAAGAAATCAAGATTAAAAGAGTTCGGTCCATATGAGTTTGAATTTGTCGTAAACTTGGTTTTAACAAATTCACATGGATAGGAACAAATACACCTTTAAATCTAAGTGTCATAAGATTTCCTCCTTCATGAAAATGATTGTGAGGAAATGCTTTCACTAAGAAAGATTTTAAGAAGATAGTGATTGTAAAATTGCATTCTCGAATTCGATTATGGTTACGGTATCCCTTTCCATAATTTGAATTGTGAGGTTTGGCAATTAGTCTTAATGTTTAGACACACATATGAACTATCTAAGGCAAAGGTGTATAAGTTCAAGAAGCCTTGATAAAAGATTATCAAAGCATTAAGTATTAGAAACATGGACTTAAGAAATTCAATAAGGTATTGTTTTCTGAAAGTTAAGATGTTTTGAATACATGTCGAAGCTAGTGGGAGCATAAGTGTTATGTTTTATAATAATCATCATGATAGTGGGAGCATAAATGTTATGATTGTATGATTATTAAGGCAAGTATTGCAAGTTGGCAATATTAATTATAGAAAACAAGAGTTATACCTTGCAAAGTGGTAAG